AAAGAGTCCTTTCCTGCTAGCTTAATTGACCTTTGACCTTTAAGATAAGTTTCAAGTGGAGCAGACCAAGGCTCACCTAAGGAATGAGGAGTTTTGGTAAGAGAGAAGGGAAGAAAAGAGATTATATATCAGTTTTCATTATTTTTGGCAACTGACTCAGATACAGTGTTGGCTGTTGGCTCTAATCTAAAAATTCAATTAGTTTAGGATCTTGTGGATTTTCATTGAGAGGAAATGGACTACTAATGCTTTCCCATTCCATCCTGGAAAGCAGGACAGAAATTCCTAGAGGGAGAGAAATATTAAATATTCACCTCCAGCTGTAGCTCTGAAGTTCCCAAAAACTGCACAACTGTGCCATACAATGAGTATTGCTGTATCTATCCGTAACCAAGTACACACAGACTGAATAGGAAATAAACCCCTCTGCAGCTTAAGGGAGACTACCGTAGTTTGGTGCTGGCTGAGAAACCAGCAGACTGAGTTCTAGTCTCCTTAAGGATGAAAGCCAGCTGAGTGACTTTGGGACACTGACTCTCTCCCAATACAACCTATCTCATAGGATTGTTGTGGGGGACATAGGAGGGAGGAATATTAAGTATGTTCACCACTTTGAGTTATACATTAAAAAGGCAGGATTATAATAATAATAATGTGATATGGCTTTTTAGCATGCCCAAGCCTCAAGCCCAGGGACAGTTAAAAATGCATACCATATATACACAGTCAGGAAAAAAAGGAAATGTTCATTCTTGCTTTAGGGACTTAGTGTTAGCAATCAAAACAAATATCATATAACACCAACACCTACACTGTGTTATTCTAAGGCCTATCCTATATCTGATGGTATATGTTCCAAGTGAAATAACATTCACAGGAAAAACTGCCAGCCAGCTTTTTTTCCATAACATGGATATCTGCAGTACCTCCCCATTATTCTCTTCTTTATACAGTGATTAAGTCTAACACTCCTGACCCTATGATATCATGAAGAGCAACAGTTTTTTTATTATGTCTTCCATTCAGTTCAATTTTATCTTTTCCTTATCGTATTCTTCCATTTCTATATTTTATCTCCTTATTTGCTCTCTGCTCTTGCTGAGAGGTCATTGTAATTAACTTTAACCTTAATTTCAAAGTTTTCTCTCATGCTGAAATGATGTTTGTCTCCTTCCTCTAATCAAAACAGCTACTACAGTGTTGTTCTGTCTATGGCAGTGGTGGCGAACCTATGGCACGCATGACAAAGGCGGCACTCAGACCCCTCTCTGTGGGCACGCACACCATGCCCTAGAGATGGCAACCGTCCCTCTTCAACCAGCCACCCACTAACTCACCGAGCTCCCATGTGGCCGGATGCATCCCAACATGGTTGGTTTCCCTCCCCTCATCCCATCCCTCCTGGCCTCACATGCTCTCCTTTTCTTGGGCACGACCCACTGCATCGCCTCCTCAGCTGTTGGCCGGCCGTCCAGCTCAGAGGCGGCTTCTCTGAACTGCTGGTGGTGGGCTGTGAAGCGCCAGTTGAGGGACCGGCAGGCTGTGGCTGCTGACGGACACTGTCGGCCCCCATGCCCTGTGTGTGCATAGGCCAATGGTGTCAGGCAACAGCCGCCCCGGCCCCTGCCTCGCCTTGCCCCGCGGCAATGGCACCTCCACCTTGCCTCGTCTTACCCTGCAGGACAAGCCTCCTGCCCACTGCCCCACCTGCCAGAGCCCCTCTGGATCTCCCCTAACCCTACCTGGCCCCCATAGGTGTCCCCATGAGCAACATCGAGGTGACCATGCCCACCTTGGCCACACCCACCTAGTCTGCCATGACCACAGCCATGACCACCCAGTGGGCCACGCCCACCTGGTACCCGGCAGTAAATAAGTGGGTTTTGGGTTGCAGTTTGGGCACTTGGGCTCTAAAAGGTTCACCTCACTGGCCTATGGCATACTGATACGGCCAGAAACGTATGATGAACCACTAACAGTAAATGATCCAGAAGTCATTTTTTTTAACTAATTGGCTACTACAATACCTTCAGGGAGTTAGCTTGAGAGTTGATCAGTTGATCACTGGCAGCAATTTGTCTTCATGCTAAAGACTTTCCTAAAAACTCCCATATGCAAAGCTTGTGACAGCTTTGGGTCATTAACAAGGAAAATTGGGGCCCCATATCAATATCTCTCAGATCCTATCCCATGATATCTTTGATCACTACCTTCTCATTACTTTCAGCCAGAAACTTCTGCAGCAACAACAGTATTGGCTAAAAGAAAGATACACTGGTGCTGGAGGCCAGCTGGAATTTGGTAGCCATCATTTTCAGATCATAGGAGGCTCTGCCTCACATTAAGGCCAGGAAAGCTGGAAAGAGCTTGGTTCCTCTTGTTTATGCTATCCTAATATTAACCTCATTTCAAAAGGAATATGAGATTGATTGGAATACGGCTGCATGAATTAAACCACTACACAGTATTGACATATCTGACAATATGTTTGTTTTTAATACTGTAAGTTTTTCAACCAACCTATGTAAAGTGGCCCATACTTAGTCATCCTTGGATTCAGCAAATGAATCTCCACCCAAACATTTGGACAAAGACTAAACCAGCTTTCTGTTCTTGCCTACTTAAAACTGTGAATGCACTGACACAAGTTGGAACAGGTTGTTCTGATTCTTTATTGGTTAATGTTACCACTCTGATACCTTGCCACAATTACCAGGTAAATTTAACCCATGGATCTCTGGAGGTACAAGATAGTTACCTGTCGTTTCCACCACCGGGATGATCTTACCAAACTATAGGTAGTCCTTGAATTATGACTACAATTGAGCCCAAAATTTATGTTGCTAAGTGAGTTTTGCCCTATTTTTCGACCTTTCTTGCCACAGTTGTTAAGTGAATCACTGCAGTTATTAAGTTAGTAACATGGTTGTGAAGTGAATCTGGCTTCCCCATTGATTTTGCTTGTCAGAAGATTGCAAAAATTGATCACATGACCTTGGGAAACTGTAATTGTCATAAATATGAACCAGTTGCCAAACATCCAAATTTTGATCACATGATCATGGGGATGCTGCCCACGATCGTAAGTGTGAAAAATCACTTTTCTCAGTGCCATTGTAACTTTGAATGGTCATTAAATGAACTGTTGTAAATTGAGGAATACCTATATTGTTTTTCAAGCTGTTGTCCCACAACATTTTTTTCCATTTAATTTCCTTTTGAGTCTCAGTATATGATTTCTATTTAATTAGATATAAAATTTAGATTATTGTCATGCAGGTTGCTTCTGAACAAATGCCATCCTTTTTTATCTAATACTATCGTACCTGGAAACCTAAGTTTGTAAAGCTGCTTGATTTATTTCTTTGTGATGCAAATCTTTGTTTCTACTAGAAGTGTGTTAAGATTCTATCCTGCCAGCATAAATAAAAATCCTTCCAGATAGCTCATTATCATGACCCATCTACTCATGACTTGGGTCAATCTGCTTTGCCCAGCCATTGCTGACAGCTTACATGAAAATTTATGATCATTTTATACATGCATATATGACCTTTCTTAGACTGACCTGGTCTGGATAACTTTCCAAAATGTGCCAGTTGGCAGCTTTGCTTAATAACTACTCCTACATCAAGGCCAATTTTTCTGAAACTGAAAAGATTCCAAACTAAGTTGTCAGAGAGAAGCCAGAGTTCCAAATTATTCTTATTTTAAGCTAAACAAACCATGGAAAGAGTTTCCACATATTTAGCAAACTCCTATTGATGGGAGGAGTCAAACTCATTTCACAATATGCCAAATTTCTTCAGAATTTTTGCTTAGCATGATGTGCAAATATACTGCTTTCACTGTGTTTCTTGTTGCTGCCTCTTAATGTAAGTTAATTAACAAACCAAATATAACTTCATCGAAGCTAGAATATCGATAAATAACAGGTTGGCATCACAAATGAATAAAATTACCTAATAATATAATTACAGTGATGGTTTTAGTGATTTCAAAACACTGGGTCTGATAACACAAAAGCACAAATATGAAAAATCAATGTTAACCTTTCTATTTATTATATAGAAACACAATGGATTGATGCAACTGAACTATTTTTTAAAAATCAAGATGTTATAGCTACTCAATAAACATTAAATTTACCAATCTGCTCCAAACAGCAAAATACAAACAGCACTTTTAATCAAAACCTCAGTTGAAACAGTTAAAATAACCGAGAAAACATGATAACAGTGCTTTTCCAAAAATTGCAAAAAGGGATTTGAGTCATATGTTGTATTTTCTAGAAATTCATGATAGTGTCACCAAGAACCTTCTTCCTTATTTTAAAATGAAATCTTTACTCAAAGAAAGTTGTACAATTGTTGGTTGACACAATGACATATGTAAATTCATAGCCCAGAAGAGAGTAAGAGGAAATGTGGTTTGCGGTTTATCTTAGTTTTAAGTTCCCAAAACAAACCATCTAAACCCTAGTTCCAATTCTTCTGCCATATAGGTGATACATCTCTGACTGCAGTGATTTCCTCTCGTTTATAATAGAACTTTCTAACCTTTATTTTTACAGGATCCAAGGTGGTGATAGTCTGACCGTTGTTGGAAACTTGGTGTAAGTTTCACTTCTTCACTTTTTTCAGTGAAGAAGCTTCTCAGATGAGAAACAAAACGTCTTCAAGAAAAAACAAAGAAAGTCCAGTTGGCTTTTTAAAAAGCGCCTTTGGGACAACCACGACCTGGATGACTGAGAATCTCCATAGACATTAAGCTGCTAGAAAGTCATAGAGAAAGAGACTTTGAGTTCTTGGAGCCATCTAGTTGGCCACAGACTGAGACAGAATACCAGCTTTGGTGTCTCTTGCAGGAGGATTGTTGCATGGAATAAAGAGGTGGGGAAACATCTCATGGTTTCAGTTCTTTGGAAGGGGTGGAGGAAGAAAAGATGCAATGAACTACTGAATGTACAAACCCTAAATAATGAAAATATAAATAGGTACCTGATAAAATTCCCGAAGCCAATTCTTCTGCAGGTTTTCTGGCTGGAAAATAAATAATTAAAGTGAGTACATAATTAAACTATTTGAGTATCAATAAATATTAAAATGAGTCTAAATAATTAAAGTGAGTATATTTAATGGCTCAAACTAAAGACCAATGAAATAGTTACTCGGGTTCATACACACATGGACATGCACACATAGACGCAGATAAAAAATGTGAAGTTTGTAAAAACAACCATGCATTTCACATTAAAAAATCACAGAATCTGGGAGTGACTATGTATTAACAAAATCATATGCGGTTTAGTCTTAAGCGCAAAAAGCAAAGGTGCAGATTTTTTTTAAGGTCAAGAACTACATTTAATTGTCTGCAACATGCCCAACATGTCATAGAAACTGAAGTTATTGAATAATTAATCAATCATATCTTATGGAATGTGGGCAAGGCAAAAGCATAGCAGATTATGGTATACCGAAAAAAGTGGATATAACACTTTGAACATTTTACATCCATGTTTTTCCTTAAACCACATCCTCTTTGTCAATCAGTTGATTTATTTAGTCTTCTTCTACCTCCTGTGCTGTGTAATTTTAAAACCATCCATTTTAATTATAATAGGCTTGGCTGCTTTGATTTATTTTACTCAATTATCTCTCTCTCTCTCTCTCTCTCTCTCACACACACACACACACACACACACACACACATATTCCAAGACAACTCTGAAGGTCATAATGCACTGAACAGAACAAAAACACTATAAACAAGCATACAACAAAACCAAAGTAGGAAAAAAAGAAGAAAAAGAACAGGTTGGCAAATCCAGAAGAAAACCCAAAACATATTCCACCAACAAGAAACAACCAGTGGAAGGTTCCAGTCATCTTCTGGATGACTTACAACATCATAAAAGCAGAATACAGCACAATGAGAACATTAGCAACATTAAAAGCATTCACCATTAAAATTAAAACATTAAAAATAAACAAAAAAACTAGATAAAAGGGGACATATATGTAAATGGGGTGGAGACTGGATTTTCTCCTAATCTACTTACCACCTACAAAGAGGGCTGGTCCCATTGGACTCCCAAGTGAGTTGGCAGAATCAGGTTTTCAGACCATTTCAGAAGGCCAAGAAGGTGGGGGCAGATCTCACTTCAAGGGGCATAATGCTCCAAAGGGCGATGGCCCTGCTAGAAAATGCTCTCTCTCTCTCTCTCTCTCTCTCTCTCTCTCTCTCTCTCTCTCTCTCTCTCTCTCTCTCTCTCTCTCTCTCTCTCTCTCTCTCTCTTTCTCTGAGTTAGGGAACTATAAGAAACTCAAGAAAAATGCATCTTGCAAAAGGAAATTTTTTAGGGGAAGTTCATCTCCAAAAGAGCAGAGATAACCGTAGCCAAGACCAAAGAACCATCAAGTAGACAATACTTCAAAACCTAATCTGGCAAGAAGAGGGTGGGAAATCACATACATGTGATCCAGATGGCTGCTTTTCACTGGTCTCAGTAGTCGGTGGTCTCCTCCAGATTTGAGGGAGATGGAGGCATCATCTAACATGCCCACAATTGCACAGAACCTTTTAAAGAACATTGTATTTGTTAACTTCACTTTCTAATTGCTTTCATAAATTGCTTCCTTAATTATCCTACAGTTATTAGAGATCTTTGCGATGACAAGTTTGAAAAACCACCTGATGAGTTTACTTTCTTTCTTGAACAGAAAAAAAATATTAACCACAATTAAGAGTTTAAAATTGGAAATCAACAGTAAAAGGCCAAATAAGATTTTAATTCAAGAGTTATAAAGGAATTAAAGTCCTGACAAATTTGAAATATTAAGATTTTAGAAATAATTAAATAAAATGCACATATTTGCATGGGAACCAAATTGTTCTGTCTATCTTAAGTCATAACAGAGATTTCAGACTTTATGATTTCAGAAATTGGACACTAGAGGGGACTAAATATTCTAGGCAGAAAAGAAAAAGGGAAAACTGTGTAAACTTGCCTTTGGTTTTTGTTTAGTATAGGAATTTACAAAATGACAAAAACTATTTGAAATACTTCAGATTTCCAAAGAATGAAATGAACCCCAAAATTAGTAACTATGATATCAGCAATGATATCTGCTTCCATGGACAGACTATGTCCAAAATATAGGACTGACATGAAATAAATTTTACCTGATGCAGAAACAGCACAACCATAAATACTGGATAATAATAATAAAAAAATGGGGATCATGACAAGCCATGAAAATGACCTCATGAGGACTTTCTATTGAATATATAAAAGTTGGTTAAAGTTTTGAAAATCAAAGTGGCACTACAAAGAACAAACCATGGGAATAATCTGGATAATACTTTTATTGGTTTTACAAAAGAAGTTTGCTAGAGTCTCGAACAAACTTTAGAATGGAAAAAGAGAAACGAAAGAGAGACCAAACCTTACAATAACATCTGAATTAATTAAAGATCGTCAGAAGTAAAAGGAATATAAAGCTGTTTTGTTTGAACAAGGTTAAAATAAGATGTCTCTATAAAGCTCTGATAACCCTTCACAGACTTTCTACTGATACCAGGACTGAAAAAGATTTATGGGTTTGCATATCGATAAAGAAGAAGTCACTTCTTTATATATTTCTTTTCTCTTACTTTCTTCTTGTTCTTTCTTTGCACTTTTTTTTTTTTGCTCTATTTTACAACCTCTCTTGCCACAGTTAAATGAATCTGACTTCCCCATTGACTTTGCTTTTCAGGTCACAAAAGGTGATCACATGACCCTGGAACACAGCAACAGTTATAAGTATGAAGCAGTTGCAAAGCATCCAAAATTAGATCACATGACCATGGGGATGCTTAATGATCATAAGTGTGAAAAGGAAGGAAGGAAGGAAGGAAGGAAGGAAGGAAGGAAGGAAGGAAGGAAGGAAGGAAGGAAGGCACTGAGCCTCTATTCTATTTATTTGTGAAAAGTTTTTCATATTTAAATATAGATTGTTTCACAAAATTAATTAACATTAAAACCAAAGTTGTAATTAACTTTTTCCAGATTATTACCTCTAGGGAACACATATAATTAAGTGCAGAGTTCTTCACATATTCTAAAATTAGTGTATCAACATTGCTTTTTTCTCTTATCCTTCCAAGCCCATGGAAGGGATGTTGTGGGTGGTACAAGATTTATCTGGAAAACTGTTTAGTAATTTTGATTTACTCCTCAACAATTGTGCAATGAAGATTAATAAAGGAGAAGTGTGAAGGAGAAGCAGGACTTGAGGCTGTAGATTTAAATTTAAAAGACTCCTTGATGATTGATCCCTGATGATTGTACAGACATGAACAGGAAAGAAAGAAGAAGCCAAAAACAAAGAAATCCCACGTATTTTGAAGTATTATTATTATAAGCATTATTAGAGAAAATAATTGCACCACTCTGGAACATTTTTGATAATAGCAAGTGTTCTATTCATCATGTTCTAAGTGCTAAAAGTCTTTTAAAAATGAATATGCCAGACTCAATTTGTTATATAAACTGGACATTAGCTTTTTATGGTTGGAATTCAGATCAATAAATCTTCGATGGGTAATGAAGAGCTGACTCAGTCACAGCAGTACTGAAAGACTGAAGAACATTGTACCCAGAAAAGGAATCTGTAGAAAAAGTAGTCAGTCAATAGTGTTATGAAAAAGAAAAATGCTCTATAAAATATTTTATGAGACCTGTTTTATAGATGTCAAACAGTTCCAGTATTACATTTGAAAGGGAAGGGGTATGGAGGAACTCACTCCATGTACCAAACAGTTTGGTAATTCTTTATTATTGTTTACAATTACGACTGTTATTGCTCATTTCTTTGTTCTGGAAAATTTCAAAGAAAGTGCATCTACAACTACCTAGAAATATATGTGCCAGCTATTGTTTGAAATGTTTTAAACATATTATATATCCTGACAATATACCAGTCAATAAAATTGAGGAACTGGGTTCCAAAATCTTTCTTTTTTACCAAGCCTTCAGCTTCATATGTTATCTCCAAGCTTTCTGTTGGTGGTTCAGACAAATTCCCAGAGAACAAGGAGAGCAACACTGTTACAAGTAGTCCTCAACTTAAAACCGATCATTTAGTGACCCTTCAAAGTTACAATGGATATCACTTATGACCCTGTTTTGGTGTTCTAATGTTGGGTCAGATGTGACTACATTTTGGATGTTCAGCCGTTTTTCCTTATGGACTTGCCCTTCCAAATGGAAAGGTCAAATATTTTGTAGGTCCTTCCCTTCAGTTTTTGACTCTTGGTGACTGTTTGCAAATTATTTTGAAAATGGTTTGCCACTGCCTTCTCCCTAGGGCTGAAGGAGAGTCACTGGCCTAAAGTCACCCAGCTGGCTTTGTGTCTAAGGCGGAATTAAAATTCACAGTCTCCCAGTTTCTAGCCTGATGATTTACTTACTACACTAAACTGGCTCTCAAGACTACACCTTGTCATCTTCTATTAAATAAATATGTGCAAGAGAGCAGCATACACTGACAAAATGCAAAGGACGAGACGAGTAAAATAGGAGCTAACTACAAATAACAGATATGAACCCAATTACAAATTTTGATGGAAGTTGAGAAATAGTTTCCAAGGCACTCTATTTTTAGGCAGGATGGCTTAATCAATGTTTTGGTCATCATGCATCCAACACTATACTTAAGAGAGAAATTCAAAATATCCTAATTTCTCTCAATCAAAATTTAATTGCAGTCATTGGCACAGGACGGAAATACTAGAACAACTATAGAAAGTAACAACACAATTTAAAATATAAAATTAGATAAAACAAAGTCTCCAAATTGTAAATTGTCCTAGCTAAAAAAATTATGACAGAGTATAACAGAGATAACTGAAGGGAATAAATTCACATCAAATAATTTGATCTAAATCTTTGTCTCTTGGCTAATGCTGAGAGGTTATGATTTTAACATATTGCAGTATCATGTGTGAATGTCTTAAAATATTTGAATACTTAATTTTATCATTATTTTAACCTTTC